GGCACATAACAACAACACAACAACAGGAAAAACCTGTTTGTTCTCTTGGCAGTCCATGAGATGTCAAATACTCTTCTTCAGCACAACTCAAAGGCATCTGTCATCCTTAATCATTGTCCAGCTCTCTGATGCATAGAAAGTAATTGGCGAAGACCATGGCCTGGATCAGGTGCACCTTAGTCTAGACTGACATCATTGCTTCTCAGTATTCTGGAGAGGTCTCTGATAGCAGATTTCCCCAATGCAACTGGCCTTTTAATTTCCTGACTGCTGGTGCCAAGAGTATTGATTGTGGACCCAAGAAGTTGTAACAGTTAGCAACCTCAATCTCTTCTCCATTTATCATGATGCTGCCAGTTGGCCCAGTGATGAGAATCTTTTGTCTTTTTTATGCTGAGCTTCAAATCATATTGAAGACTACAATCCTTGAGCTTCTGCAGCAAATACTTCAGGTCCTCCTCAGTTTCAGCAATCAAGGTTGTATCATGTGCATAATCCAAGTTGTTGATGAGTCTTTCTGCAATCCCGATGCCATGTTCTTTCTTATTCTTTGTCTAACTTTTACATACATATGTTGTTGTTGATGTTGTTAGGTGCCATCAAGTCAAGTATGACTCACCGCGATCCTATGAACAACAGATGTGAACCCTGCCCTACCCTGTGCCATCCTCACAATCTCTGACACGCTTGAGCCCATTGCAACAGTCACTGTGTCAATCCATCTTGTTGAAAGGATATTCTTATTTGCTGACTCTCCCCTTTTCCAAAGAATAGTCCTTTGGAAAGATTTCTCTTTCCAGGAGATAACCCCTCCTAATAATGTTCCCAAAATACGTGAGGTGAAGCTTCACCATTCTTGTCTCCAAAGAGCTCTCTGGATGAATTTTCTCCAAGATCTATCTGTTCTTTTGATACAACATGGAATATTCAGTACTCCTCTGTAACACCACAATTTAAAGGCCTCCATTCTTCTTCTGTCATCCTTATTGATTGTCCAGCTCTCAGATGTAGCAAGTAATTGAAAAGGCCATGTCTTCAATCAGATGCACCTTAGTCTTCAAGCTGACATCACTACTCCTTAGTGCTTTAGAGAGGTCCCTGACAGCAGAATTTCCCTATACAATACATCTTTTGATTTCTTGATTGCTGGAATCAAGGATGTTGATTGTAGCACCAACAATTTCAATCTCTCTCTCTCTTTTTTTTAAAGGAAGCTAAAGAAGCTTTATTAGGGGGTCTCCCTGGCGGGATTCCTTGGTCTGCAGAGAGAGAAACAGGCAGAGGGACAGACCAGGGAAATACTGCCAACAATTTCAATCTTCTCCATATCCATCATGTTTCCTATCATGATAGGCCCAGTGGTGAGGATTTTTGTCTTCTTTTTTTTTTCTTTTGTTTTAGGTTTTTGTCTTCTTGATGTTGAGGTGTAATCCGTATTGAAGGCTATAGTCTTTGATTCTCTGCAGAAAGTGTTTCAAGTCCTCCTCACTTTTAGCATGCATGGTTGTGTCATCTGCATAACGCAGGTTGTTGATGAGTCTTTCTTGCAATCCCGATACCGTATTCTTCTTCATAGAGTCCAGCTTCTTGACGGATTTTTTCAGCATACAGATTGAACAAGTATTCATATGAGGGACTGAAAATACCCAGGATTGACTAAGATCCCACTCCACTTGGTCCTCACGGTGACATCCCGGCTCTTTAAACAAGTCTTTTGAAGCAAATGTGCCCAATGCAGGACATCATTTGATTTCTTGATTGCTGCTTCTGTGGACGTTGTTTGTGGATCCAAATAAATTAAACCCCTGACAATGTCAATCTTCTTCACTTATCGTAATATTTCTTAATTACATAGGTGTGAGGACTTTTTTCTTTATCACGAAGTATAACCCATACTGAAGACTGTACTTAGATCTGCAGTAAGTGCTTCAAGACCCCTTCATCCATCTTCATCTATCAAGGTTGTGTTGCCTTCATACTGCAGCCTGTTGATGAGTCTTCTTCCAAGCCTAATGCCCCAAATCTTCTTCAGACAGTCCAGCATCTCAGGTTAT